GTAGCCACAGAAATTATATATAAGCACATGTCTGCAATTAACCACATTTATATGCACAGTGTATGGGCAATCACACGTACACAAGAATGCACATAAACACACCCCTAGATTTCAACCCTACACTTCCCTGGTCCTGGGAAAGCCTTTATGAGCCTCACCTGCCAGCGCCCGAGGTGGGTTGGCCCGCGTGCCCACCCAACATGGCGGAGGGGCGTGTGTTGTGCCCACCGACTAAGGATTGGGAGCAAAGGTCCGTATCGACCTTTAACCCACCCCCGCTGGACCTTAAGTTGTATATGTATCCCCGACGGCCTTCAGGAGTCGGGGATACGTGTCCGCAAGTCTTCCCAGTTCCTGTCCTGTTCTTCTGGTTTCCTTTTCCCTTCTCTTTTTCTCTGTCTATTCCCATTTCCTTCCTTTTCTTTCCTCATTTATTTTTATTTGGTTCATTTGCTATCTCTCACTCTATTCCCTTTGTCTTTTGTATCTCTTTCCCATTCCTCCTTCCTCTGTCATCTGTCTTCCTTTCTTTAATTTCCTATTTCCCTTTCCTCATCTCCTTCCACCAGTTCTTTCATTTCACCTTCCCATTTTTTTCCTTTCCCTTGCTATCCCCCTTACACTCTCCTCTTCCCTTACTATCCCCTTCCCGCTCCCCCTCCTCCCTTCCCCTTTCCCTTCATTTTCCTCTTTCCCCTACCCCTTCCTTTCCCCACTTCCCTTACCCTATTCTTTTCCCCTCTCCCCTTCCCCTTCCCCTTCCCCTTCCTTTCCCCTTCCCCCTTTCCCTTCCCCTTCCTTTCCCCTTCCCCTTTCCCCACCCCTTCCCCTTCCCCTTCCTTTCCCCCACCCTTCCCCCTTTCCTTTCCCCCTCCCCCCTTCCCCTTCCTTCCTTCTTCCCCTTCCCCTTCCCCTTCCCCTTCCCCCTTCCCCTTCCTTTCCCCTTCCCCTTCCCCCCTCCCCCTTCCCCCTCCCCCCTTCCCCTTGACGTACCTTGTCCTAATCACAGGCCTCTTTATATCACAAAGACTATAAATCCAAAGTCGTTCTTCCTTGACCTTTCGGCGCAAGTGCAGCATTGACCTTTTAAGTGAGTGTGACAGGTGAAGACAGCGATGGATAATGTCATTTTCCTTTCTTTTTTTTCTTGTTTTTCTAATTTTCGTTTTGTTTTCGTAGAGGTGGGAGGGCTGGGGCTGAACACAAGAAGCCCAGGACAAACATCGAAGGCGATTGGTGAAAAAAAATATGATAAATAAATGAAGTGTCAGTTGATAATGTCAAAGAATGGTCGTCCTGTTTATCCAAGTGGGTGAACGGGGAGGGGGGAGGGTGGTAGGGGGTAGGGGGAGGGGAAGGAAGGAAGGGGGGAAGCCGGTAGAGAAAGAACGAGGCACTTTGTTTTCTTTGTCGATTATATTGGAGGCTTCTGTCCGAAATGATGCTATCGGGCTGATTAAAAACGTGATTACTGATAAGAGATGCCGCTTTTCCCGCTCGTATTCCTCGATAAGAGCGTTTCGTTTCGATATTTTCTTAATTTTCCAACCATTTCCAGGTTCTTAATTGGATGAACTGTACGACCCAAGAAAGGAAATGAGAAGAGCAAAAGAAAAAAAAAAGGAGAAACGAACACACTCTCCGAAAATGCTCTTGGACATTCAAAGTCGCAAGTAAGGCTTACGGAGGAGTGGACCCAGGGATAAGACCGCCGAGCCGGAACGTCGAGCGTACGAAAAAAAAAGAAAAAAAAAAGAGAGAGAAACAAAAGAATAACGAGACATAAACCAACAACTAAAGAAACCAAAACAAACGCCAAAAAAAAAAGTCAACAACACCGGACGAGGGAGGAGGGCAAAGTAATTAATATTCGCGGTGTGGCTGGGATGGTGTGTAGGACAGTGTGGAAATAATTGGCGATGTTTCGGGCGGCAGCGTGTTATTCAGAAGGGCAGGATTACCCCCGTTTTTTGTTGGCCGCGGCGGGGAGGGGGGGGACGCAGATCCGGTCATTTCACGGCCGACTAAACTAGATTTCGGGGATTGCGGGTTCGGCTTTTATATTTTGCTGCAGCGATGTTAGAGTTGATTTATTTACATTTTACTGTATTCTTTGCAGGCGAAACAAAAGCGGTTTATTGTGTACCCGTGATTTATGCATATATGATAGTTGTTTTTGTTTGGCTGGTTATTATTTTCACGGTTTAGGGAAGGATTTTGTTTTCTTTTTTCCCTCTTTCTTTTTTTGTCACTGTCTCTGTTGTAGTAATGTCTGTCGGTATTGCTCGTGCAATTGCTTCTGCTGCTGATTTTACTGATGCTGATGTCATTTACCGCTGATGTTTCTCGTTTACAGCTGCAGTTATTGTTCATACCATAACATTGCTTTTGCTATTTTTTCCGTCTTTGTTTTCTAACAGTTCTTATCATGACATTTATGTATCTAGTTTTATGCTGACATTGATGTGAATGTATATAATTTCAGCACCAGTGTATAGCA